TGCAAATGCCACACTAACGACAACAATCGTCGTCTCAGATACTGTACAAATGAAACTGTTCATCTGAAACATATGGTGCTAGGGGGTGCATCCAACTAGCATATTTTGTACAAGGGGTGAAGCACTCGTTTAAAGTTCAACGAAATTATGTATGCATATAGCCTGCTTAGATTGGAGGGAAAAACCTGTAAGAAATCAGAGTGCGGAAAATTCAAGTCTACGTTCTATATGGTTTCCTGATTTTCTTTCTCGGACCAGTAGTCCAGAACGGTGTTTTAGGGTTAAATACCTCGTAGCACTCTTACAAACGCTAAAAAAGTATCACATCAGTCTATTTTCTTTACAGTATATTATCATCAATTAGTTAATTAATTAATTGCCAAGTGTTTCTTAATGCTGTGCGTGGATGGTGTTCTGTATTGATTCCCTTCCACTTGTTTGCTTGGTGCTTTTAATTTCGTGTTATTGTATTTTGTACTTTTTTTCAGCAAATTTTCGCAGAATTTAATTTGTTTTTGGCCCGTCCTCCCCCTGTACATCGGCTAAAGAGAAGATTACGCAAATATTTCTTCTTAAAAGCGGGACAATGAAGAAGGAGTGTTCTCTCACAACTGAAACATTCTTTTTTTGCTGCACTTTAGAAATGAAATAAGCATACAGGGAACTGCAAGCAAAAGCCCAAATATTAGCGTAAGCAGAAAACTTTGTAAAACTCTTAAAAATAAAAACATAGGCAAGTTAATAGATTGAAATATCTTGATTTCCGCACAGTGTACCTACAATAGGTTTTCCTTTGAAAGCTTTTTGGTTATTTGTATTTATTTATATCTTTATTTTATCTTGTTTGCACGTATTGCATGCCATTAAAAGTGATGTTATGCTCATGTGATTTTTTACGCGACCTTGTGGTAAAAAATAAAATGGTTGAGTTGTGAAGCGTTTTATACGATAAAAGCTTTTATGTGAAATCCTCACCCACGTCAACACATTGTCGCGCTATGCAAATTACGTAGGGTAGTTCTCTCGATTAGAACCATCGAGACCTCTTTCCTGTTTGGAACTGATTTGATTGAAAACTTCGGAACAACGATCGTCAAAAACAAAAGAAGAGACATACGGCAAAAAGATCCAATCTTGGCCACTGGGAATACCTTACCCACCCTATGTACCAACTACAGTCACGAACTCTTACTTAACCTGATATGCAAAGCGAGCTATAATTTGCATATAGTCTTAAAACAGATTTACGGTAAACTGCGTGGGAACACATACTTGAAATAGTTGGCTTTATTGTCAATCCTCTTGCGGTTTCCTTCAAAATTTTCAGGAAAAATTGTATTAACAGTGTAAAGAGTACAAATGTGAAAAGTGAGCTACGAAGAATTCACCGAATTCATCGTTCATCATTATCTGTTCACGAATGAAATTAAACAAACAGTGAAATGAAGCATTCGAGAATATAATGTCCAAGTTGAGGTCAGTATGTTTACATTGTTCTTTACGCTCTTTGAGTTGCCAGGATTTCTAAAACAAAACGTTTTTTTTTTCTTCCGTCTAGTCACGAGCGTGGAACAAAGCAAAAATTCTGAGTCCCCATGAGGTATGGAACCTCAGACCTTCGGATTTCGCGCTCCGATGCCCTACCACTGAGCCACAGAGACTATACGAAGTTCATAAGATACGCGTCCTCCATACTGGTAGGGTCAGCAATGTCGATAGCGTAATGTTTTTAGATAGAAATAAGAGAGATGGTAAATTTTGAGCTCGGTAATGAAATAAAGAAAGATGTTTTTTCGTCTTGTCACGAGCGTGGGACAAAGACAAAATTCCGAGGTGTTTTTGTTAATGGTCACGCATACACAACATCGCATGATTTTTTATTTCCGAGATCATCGCAGAAATTCATCCCATTCTTGAAAAGGGCTGCTGATATACACAAGGGTGAAATACAACGGGATTAAGTCGTAAAATCCTGTCGTACATGGACAATATGCTTCATTAGTTTTGGAGGATTCGATGAATCAAAGGGCCTTTGACGCAATATTCACAGACATGAGTTGATTAAATTAACAAATTTCACACCGGTGTTATGGCTTATATGAAAATAGTTTCATTACAGCCTTGTGAGCTAGCACTAATGATCAACTTGATAAAAGGGTAGAGACCTCCCATGGTAAAACAAGTCGCCTTTAAAGTGATAAAATGTTGTGTATCATGAAGATTAGTATGAAAGAACCGCAATTTATAAATATTATAGACAAACACAAGCAAAATCGATGTCTGAATTCCACGAAGCGCCATTTTGGCTCGTTTAAAGTTATTCGGTTGCTATCTTTACCGGTGACAAAGGGCTAACGCTCGGAACATCAGCTTTGAAACTCTCGGTGGCCAATCTACATTAACAACTCAGCTCATAAAATCAAAATTAACTTGCTATATTCCCCCGCCGACGTAGCAACACAGTTTCTATAGAACTTACCCCCTTTTGTCACTATAATAATTAGCTTGCTTGGGTGATTCCCAAGGGACCATGCAGATCTGAATGCTGGCAACAGTAACACGTCATATCATTCGACATAGCGACACACTAATAATTCCAGTTTGAAAGTATACGATCCCTGTCGCGATTTTACCAGCACTAAGTACATCATTCCCATTTGTGTAAAAAATTATTACCCTAAAAGATTATTTATGATGATCTAACAACGATTTGGGCCGCCATTTAAAGGGTTCCCATTAACTAGAAGGTGAAATAGTGCAGTCATTTATCTTCATCGTATATTAGTTCAATGGATGTTTTTTCTTCGTCAGTTTGCAAATTTCCCACACAGACATGGCAAGGAATGAATACCAAAAAATTTCAAGCGCTGACCAAAGTCCGAAACAAGGCTTCTTGTCTTATCTTCTTTTTAGCTGGATGGACAGCACTTTTAAAATTGGCAATAAACGGGCCTTACAGGAGAGTGACTTTGTACCTCTTTCCACTGAAAACACAACTCGTGCTGCGACCGAAAAACTTCAATCCAACTGGAACAAAGAGAAAACCAAGTGCAGAGAAAAAGGAAAGAAGCCAAGACTTTGGAAAAGCGTTCTGAAGATGCTCTCCGTCAAGGATATTATTATCTTTTCATTGTCGGGTGCCATGTACTCAGTGTCTAAGATTTCTCTTATTCTGCTGATAACATATCTTATTTCCGCACTCCTTTCATCTCAAGCACAGAACAATCTTGCTTATCTCTCGGCTCTGGCCATGTTCATTACCAGTTTGTTTCAAGCTATGGGACTTCATCACGTTTGTTATAGAGGCGAGTTGACGGGAATCAGAGTGAGTTGCGCCCTTAAAGGTCTAATTTACCATAAGGTAAGTAAATGAATAGTCTTTGAGTATCCTAATAGAAACTACCGCTAAGTTGACGCAGCCGATTGAACACCAAAGGGAATTGCCAGGGTTAAATTAAAACAACCGGTTGAAGGCAACTAAATCTTGGCTTTGCATCGACGTGCCTTACCTTGCTTCACCTTAACATACTAAAATAGTTGCTTAATTCACAAAAAGCGTCCAGTCTTCAAACAAAAAGAAGGTAGGGCAGACTGCAGTGCTGTTTTTTAGCTTGTTGCACTTGAATTGAATGGATGGTTGGTGAGCCAATATTAGGTAGATAGAAGGAAATCAGCTGTAAAACCCGTCTCCGTGGCGGCACTCAACTGCGTTAAATTTCACTCTGAATCAAATTTGAGCGTTGATGTGAAAATCCATTTTACACAGAAAGATCATCAAAAACAACTGACAGATTGGAAAAATTTGAAGACAGACCGGAAACCTACCTTCTGATATATCACATGTCCTCAAACCAGTATTTCTCAGTGGTACTACCATTTGCTTTGTCTTTCGTCTGTCCTCTTGACGCTAGGAGGATAGGCTTCAAAATTATCGCCTACTTTAAACTTTTATCACACGGAAATTGAGGCTGGTTTATATATAATATAATATATTTGCCCCATGGAGTGAGGATATATTGCGCTCCTTTTCTTCTGTCCTGTACATGGTTTAATAGTCACGACGAAGACAAAGATATTTCGATAATAGGTTAACCCCCTAATATTTTTTTCGTAGATGCTACTTCTGAGTAAACACGGTTTATTGAAAGCCACGACAGGTTACGTCATTGAGCTTTTATCCAATGACGTTCAGCGAATGGAAGGCGAAACTGTCAAATATGTTTTTCTGACGGTTTCTTCAACTGTAGAGTTTTTGGCGTTACCATTCTTACTCCAGCGCCTTATTGGCTGGCAAGCACTTGTGGGCTTCATTTCCCTTAGTCTTCTTATTGTATACTTTGCTGGGTTATCCTACATGAACGGTGTATTACGAGTGAAGACAGCAGAAATGTCGGGTCTACGCCTCTCTTTGATGAACCAAGTGATTTCTGGAGTTCGCGCCATAAAAATGCAAACATGCGAGAGTGAATACAGAGCAAGGATAAAATATTCACGCAGGTAAGCAAAGGACGATCTTATCTCTTATGTTTAAGTTTCCGTACTTACGAGTCAGTGACTAACGTAATGTCTTGTAAAAGGCATAATGAGCTCAGTGACGAGATACCATATAGAAATGATGCTCATTAATACCAGTTGAAAATTTTTAGATTTGCAAACAAACAGAAACCAAGAAAGGTATGCATATTTATGATATGGTGAGTTGGTCTTGAGGTAAAACCGAGCGTTGTGATCAGTTGGTTCTTACCTGGACGGGATTTTACCGTACAGACCATTTCTTCAGGAACGGATAAGCCATGTATTTTGGTTCAAAAGCCAGAAAATTCGAAATTAGCAAATTCAATCTGAGAGCCGTATAATATAAAACTTATTATTAAATTTCAATATCTAATCATGCTTTGTTTTATTTCGACCGCTGGTTAAGGGAACGAGGACTCCGAGTCCGATATTAGTGTGAACACTATCACGTGCATTTCATCGAAAGGGAAATTAAAAGACATTTAATGTCTGATTTGGTTTTTAGGAATGAAATTAAAATCCTCAACAAGAAAAATGCGGTTTTGACAGCTCTTGTCGCTTTGGAAGGCTCTTCAGGACCTATAGCACTCTTGGTGTCTGTCCTGACTTTTTTATTAACAGGACATACCCTAACACCTGTGAATGTCACCATGCTACTCGCTTTCATTGGTGCTCAAAGACTAAATCCTTGCTGTTTCTTGGCCTATGGTTGGCTGCAAATATACGAAGCTTATGTATCGCTTCTTGGAATAGAAGATTTCCTCCTCTTAAAAGATTTGCCTGCAGTCTCATGTGATCACACGTCTGACAAAAGTAAATCTGAATTGAAAGAGTTAAAAAGCGGATTGAAGGATCACGAGGAAAGAGTCGAAGTTAATCACTTTGACGATGCAATTGATGAGCGGGGCATGGCAATAGATTTGTGTGTGTCGAGTTTGACATGCATGCAAGTCGGTCGAGAAGAGGAATATATCTTAGAAAATATCGACCTTATAACAGAATCTAAAGGCTTGACAGTTATTACTGGACCAGTGGGAAGTGGGAAATCTACTCTTCTCTCAGCCATCGCCGGAGAGGTACCAAAAAAAAAGGGAACACTGACTCGCCCAGAAAAACTTGCTTATGTTCCACAGATTGCATGGGTCTTCTCCGGGACAATTCGGGAAAATATCTTGTTTGGTCTGCCATACGACGAGCAGATGTATAGGAAAGTGCTCCGAGCGTGTGCACTTGATAAGGACATGCAGGAAATGCCTGATGGAGACTTAACTGTTGTTGGAGAACGCGGTGAAGTTCTTAGCGGCGGTCAGCAGGCAAGAGTAAGTTTAGCTCGCGCTGTGTACGCTGATGCAGATCTTTATTTGTTGGACGACCCTTTCAGTGCTTTGGACTTTAAAGTTGGTCAACACATCTTTGAAAACTGTATTCAAGACTTCCTGGGCGACAAAACCAGGGTATTAATCTCTCATCAAGAGCAGCACATGAAAGAGGCAACTGAAGTGGTAGTCTTATACAAAGGCCGTGTTTTAGGAAGGGGAACTTTCACTGATCTTCAAGGGGAAGGTTTTCTTAATACGACTGTTAATCCACTGCATCAGAAGGCTCCAAAAGATTCGAAATCCGACAAGAACTATAATGAACAAGAACAGAAGTTCATCGATAGTAGTGACGAAAAAGATCCACCATCTACTGGAGAGAAGGGCCTGACAATGTCAGATGAAGACCGTACCATTGGAAGGGTGTCACCGAAGCTTTACTGGGACTACTTCAGTAGTGGAACTCACTCTATGGGAATCATTGCTATGATATGTTTGTTCCCCATTGCGCAAGGTAAGCCTTTCTTATCTGATCTGATGGCCGACTGTACTTCATGGAAAATGCAAACGAACTAAACTTTAGACAAGAGACCTGCTATAACCTAATTGCTGTTTATTATCTTGCGGCGTTCGGAATCGAGATCATCTAGAAGTAGAGTGATTTTACATGAGAAGAGATTTCGTCATGATGGTCGATAATTTTACAAGTGAAGAGACTTCGTCATGTTGGTCGATAAACAATATTTTTCTTTAATAACTTATCATTATCTTCATCAATTATTATTTTCTGTTTTGTGTACGGAACGATGTAAATGTGTAAGTTTTCATGCCTTGTTGTCCATGACAGTACTTTACTCTAAAAGGCTATCCATGCAGTTGTGGAAGCGATAGCAGATTCTTTCGTGATATTAACAGCTGAAGACAATTAATAAAAAATGAACCACGATCTCAATCAGTCCTACATAAAGACCCCTTATGCATGAAGATTTGCATTTTTTATAGCTTGTTTATGGCTGAGGTAGTAGAATATGAGGGTGCACTTTGTTCTCCACGTCAAGGACAACAGAAGAGCATGAACTCATTCATTTTAGTGGCAAATTTCTGAAACCGTGAACCTAGGTTGACAGTAGATCGAGAGAAAATGAGTTACACTTGCTATACTCGTAAATCAATAAGAGTTTTTGTTTTGAACTGATGTGCCAATGTCTTTCAAGTTAGAGGTGAAGGTTCAACCCTAGGTCGCTGTCAATGGGTAGTGAAAGTTGTTGTCGTACTTGAAAACTAATACACTTTACTTGCAGACATGGACTTTAGAAAGACTATCCATTCAGTTATTGCAAAGTTCTACTTACATATAGTCACCCCTGTAGCATTAGACCTTGTGGAAACTTAATTGGTTTGTTTTAATTTCAGCAATAATTGTCTCTTCCGATGTTTGGCTCTCGCTTATGACGAAGAAGCTTCCAGAAGATCAGAGAAACAAGATAAACATTATCATCTACACTTGTCTTGTCAGTGGGTGCGTTATGCTCGCTTTCGTTCGAGCATATGCTTTCCTATGGATTTCTCTGAAATGTTCTGAAAGTCTCCATGACTTGATGGTAGTAGCTCTTCTGCGATCACCGATGTTGTTTTTTGATTCAAATCCAGTAGGAAGAATACTCAATCGGTTTTCAAAAGACATTGGCTGCATGGACGAGCTTTTGCCTAAAGAGTTTCTATTGTCAATTCAGTTATCATTACTGGCTATTTGTACGATACTTATACCAACTGTTGCAAATCCTTGGCTCCTGTTCGTCATTGCTCCGTTGATGACTTTTGTGGCGTTCGTCTCCAAGTATTACTCGAAAACTTCCCGAGAGTTAAAAAGGTTGGAATCAATTAGCCGCAGCCCTGTTTTCTCCCACATATCGGAGACTTTGAATGGATTGGACACAATTCGGACAAGAAATAGGCAGAGAGACTTCGTCCATGAGTTATACAGGTACGTTGGCGGCTTCTTTCTGTAGAAGTGACGCCTTGTTAAAAAAAGAAATTTCTGGTTTGCACCTTCAAACAAACAAGTTGCGGAAACACGCTGAACAATCACCAATTTCTTTTCGTAGATACCAAGATACCCATAATCAGATATCTATCATGGTGATGGCCAGTGCCAGATGGCTCGGAGTGCGCCTAGACGTTGTTGCTTCCCTGATAGTTGGTTCAGTTGCTGCAGTAACAGTGTTTGTGGCCCAAGATGCCGGTGAGTATTAAAGGAAAGGAATTTTTTGGGTTCACTCTCAACAAACATGAAAAGTCATTAACTTTAAGTTAGAGAAATATTTGGTTTCTTAATGAGAAGTTGACTTTTAGCATCATCATTGTCAGCATTCATTATCGTCGTCATTGCCGTTGCAGTCACCGTTGTTGTTGTCTTCGTCGTCTTTGTTATCATTATTTTAGGAAGTTTAAGAAACTGAAGACGAAGAGAACGACGATGAGAGACGAAAACAAGGAAGTTGTTTTTGGCGGCAAAAGGAAACTAAAGCGACGTAGTTATTTAAAGATGACGGTGTTTGAAATTTCGGTTAGCTTTGCTTCGTATAAAGATATGACAACCTTCGGGCGCACTGAAAACTTTGCTTTTCTTAGTTATTTCATTTTTAAGTATTTCTCCTAAAAGAAAATCGAGCTCTGAAATCTTATCATCGATACCACTGTCTCTTTCTTCTTACAGTCGAACCTGTATTAAGCGGCACCGTAATTAGCGGTCACTATGTATGAAGCGGTCAGTTGTCTTACTGCCGAAATTTTTACCCCCTATTTACACGAATTTTCACCTCTTTTAAGCGGTCACCTCTATTTAGCGGTCGTGGTCACCTTTCACTGAGTCCCATCGGCCTGTTTGTATCGTCTTCCACTTGTATCGAACAGTTCTTTAAAGCGGACCACTCAAATAAGTCTAAGAATAATCCTCGTAATATTAATCCATATTTATCTCCCGTTATTAATGTTGATTGTGTTGTTGAGCAAATTTTTGTACATTAATTGGTCAATTATAGCACATAATTATGGCACATGATGACCTTTTCTATCGATTCTTTATAATACCCAATTCTGCTGTATAAAGCGGTCAACTTGCACTAAGCGGTTACCAAGCCATTTCTCGTGGGTGACCGCTTAATACAGGTTTGACTGTTTTTCGATTTAATCCTGAATTTGTTTTGTTAAAAGATTGTATCGGTCGTGGACTGACCTTCCAGTGACTAGGAACTTTCTCGGTGGTATGGCATTCACATTATCTGCGAATGCTTCTCACTCTAGATCTGATTTAAGATTTGTAACGTTCAATTGCAAGAACATCTAGGACGTAATTCAGTACATCAAGGTCAGTGTTCCATTGTTCCGAAATTTTTTTAAACTCGGTACCTGTATTAACTGATGCAACTTGAACGTCGTTATAACATTTAAAATACCAAACTTTAGGTAAATTATGTCACATCGAGGTAAATTATGGGTTGTACGTAACGATTATCTATTCTGCACCATTTTTGCCAGATTTTCAAGGTGGATAAACAAGTAAACAAAGCCTAAGCCAAACTATAATATATTGATTTAGCCAAGCCTAAAAGCGGAGGTTGAAAAGTTTTAGATGGTATTTCCTCACGTTTGCCATTAATTGAATTTACTGGAAGGTGGATTTGTTGCAACATGTTAACATGAAATGCAACAATAAATTTTATTGATGTGTAAAAGGTTTTCATTTGACTATCTACTGGCAAGTCTTGTATTTTATTTCAATCCAACCATTTTCCACAACTTGTAAGCACCATTACAAAATAATTAGTCAGAGAAATGGAAAATTTGGAAATGGAAAAGTCCATAATCAGCTGACAGGATTGAGAAGGGTATAAGTGGGAATAGAATCTCTTGTCTTTATCATTAATTTGCTAATTGCTCCTGTTAGCAATGTTTTGATGAGGTTGGCCTGTCAGGGCAAAGGAAATGAGGATTTTAGTCGGCAGTGACTTTTTCAAACCTGGAAACCAGCATCATGAAAGCCAGACTTGTGCCTGGTAACTCATTCTTATTCTGATGAACTAGTTTTAAAAAGGATACAATATTTTATTACATAAACTTGATGCATAGGCTATGCACAAAACTTCAATTTGACTTTAATTTTATAGCCAATACCAATCCTTAGACATAATAATATGTTAGGAAGATCAAAGGAAAAAATTATGTGCCACACATCTGCGAGATTTCGTGTAATTATTTTAATTTCATGAATATTAACTGATCTAGGAGATATAAGAATATTCAAAAGAGAAGAAAATTTGATTGAAAAATTAGAATTTAGCATAGATAAACAAGATTCTTAGAAAAGAAATGTGTACTAATGAAAAAGCTAAGCAAAATTTTTTACAAAACCTGCCTGTACCTGCACGGCACATAATAAAGTCATTCAAAGTAGTCGTAATCTCGGTTTTATATGTTGAAAACACATGCACACGCAGATTTCCTCTAAACTTGTAGTTCAAGCCTGCAATGACTTTTAAATTTTGATGAATACCTAAAAAAGAGAAGTTTCTATTTATTTAGTTTACAAGTTGGTTAGTGAGGTAAAATTGAGTCAAACATTCATACGACGACAGGTTCAAGAAATTTCCATAACCAATTGTTAAGGTTACCCTACCTGGAACAGTCACCTTCATGAGCAAATTAGACTAGGTTTGTACTGACGATGCCCAAAAGAACTATCTGTGGTAAGAGGGCAGGCTCTTTTTCATTTAAAGAAATACTGAGGTTATCATCTCCCCACAAGTTCAGTGCAAAGTGAGAGTGAATAAGACTGATATTGACTATGTTGGATAAATATTCAGAGGAGGATAAAAAGTAAGATATGGTCTGCGCAACTCTCTTATTTTAACTTTTCAACCTTGAGAGCTAAGGCATTTATATTCTTGCGTTGTGCCCTATGTGGACGCCAATTAATTCAACTTTCATACTTGAAAATACGAAAAAAGGTTCTCTTCATCTATGAGCCCTAAACATTATAGGGGAGGAAGCAGGTCATAGTAAAAACTTGAATTAAAATAGGAGGGCCCCCATTAATTTCAGTCCTAATTTAAGGAGGATCCTTGCTTTTCCAGATTTCCATCCTTTAAAACTCGCATATCTTGTGACCAATTCCTTAGATCAATGTTTAGTTTGGGCATAAGTATTGGTAAGAAACACTATGCATTAATGGAAGCTTGAGCAAGAGTGTTTAATGCCATCTAAATAATAATATTACATGTTACAATATAGTAACTTACACAGCAAATTTATATAATCACACAATTCCAAACGAAAGAATCAGGTTCTTGACTCACCTGCCTTTGAGGGACTAAGGTAGAGGGAAATAGATATGGTAACAAGTTACAATTAATACCAAATTGAAAGTTTGAAAGCTAAAAGATATACATTACAATTATCAGACCCTATGCATCCTGGCAAAAAAGGGTCAATTACCACCATAACTTCTCCCAAATGTTCATGCTTACAGGAAATCACTAATTTTTGTCACTAGGTGGTACTGTACTTACAATACTTCTATCAACACAAATGTGTTTTTCTAAAGTTATCTCATATCATATGACTGTACAGGTCATGTGGAAGGTTCCTGCATGGGGAATGACATTTCAATTACCTCAGCAAACTTTAATTACCAGAATTGCAAGCCAAGCTGTATTTACCAAGTGCTCAAGTTTCCAAATCAGTCACCTAATTGTTACATTGGAGTTCACTCCTTTTAGAGGCTCTCTTCAGCTTGATCATCCTATTACACGTGAAAATATCAAATGTTACTAGCATATTAAAATAATTGTTCAGTCATGGTACTTTTCAGCGCTATTTTTTCATGCTTTCTACTCGATTCGTTCGAACTTCAGGAAATGGTTTGTCTCACAAAACATGGAGCCACTTTCTCTTCGCTCAACATCTCGAGGCTCAGGTTATGATGAACATCCTTGCGATGCGATAATATTTTCTAATGCTGGAAACTGAAAAATCAATCTCTGAAATTGCTTGTCATCACATTTTGCAAGAAGCGTCCGAGCTGTGATCGTGTAATTAAACGGGGTCCTGGCAATTTGAGCTCACAAGCACGCTGGTATGCATATGGTTAACGTAAATAATTGTTGTTTACAGTTTTCAAATTCAAGAGCCATTTTTGAGAGTCTGTTTCTGTAACCTTCCTGACTGTTTTCTGTTAAATTCATTGAGGTACAATTTCGGAATTTCGTAATTGATTATAAACAATAAATTCGTATTAGCACCATAATTTAGGGAAGTTTTCATGACACATTATCAGTTTACAATTTGTAAACCATTTCTGAAACCTGCTTGGATATTTTCTTTTGAATCAATTGAATCACACTCTTGAAATTTCATCAATAATTAAGAACGATAAATCCGTATATGTAACACAAGTGAAGCACCTTTTAAACTTTCCATACGATTTTAGGAAACTATAATTAATTGACTCTGGATAGATTAGCCCGCGATAACTAGTTGATTATTTCTAAATTATTATTTTGTAGCCTCAAAAGCTTGGTTCAAGACTCTGGAGGTACTTAACTTGATATACTTATTACACAAGGCATCCTTCAAGGAGGAAGGTTGGAATACAATTGCTTTTAGGACCGTTTATTGCACCCGGTTTACATATGTAGATAATTGCTTAAAAATACCAATTATAGCTGTATTCAGAGGCATAAACATATAGGTAATATTTTTCTAATTTTTCAATAACCTTCTTCCTTTAAACCTTATCTCCCATGTGTGATCAAGACAGAATTTCTCCTTACAATATCAATACAATATCAAGCAGACAAGTGATGAGAATATAGAAAAATACCAATTAGGGCAGGGATTATTAGTTCATCCATAGCAAATTCTTGAAACTAACATCACAAGAACTAACTATGTGGCAGACAGTAAGGAGAATTGCTAATAAGGTCTGGGAAGTTAAACGGTGAATTGTGCTCCTGAAATAGTGAATGGTATTGGAGAAAAAGTAAAACAAGTTCTTGAAACATTCAATGTTAAATAAAACTTTGTCATGAATGTTAACCCTTAAACTCCCATGAGTGACCAAGACATAATTTTCCCCACAATGTCAATACAATATCAACCAGATAAGCGATAAGAATAAAGACAAATATCAATTTGGCGATAATTAGTTAATCCAATACTTAATTCTCTGAACTAACACTGTAAGAATTGTATGGTTGACAGTGAGAAGAATTAGAAATTGGATCTGGGAGTCAAAGGGTTATTAATGGATGGGAACCAAAACATCTGTTAAGCTATAATTATAACAAATACCTTTCCATGTAAACAAATCATAATGAAGCATGATATGAATCAATTTAATCTCATCCAGTTTGAATATAGAATCCAAATATAATTAACTTATGAAAGGAATAGGAAAAAGCTCAATGTGTTTTTCCTGCTTCTATTATTCTAAATATCACAAATCAATCAAGCCACCACTTCAGTGTGATTTATTTTTGATGATGTCAACTGTTTCTTATGGACATCTATTCTTAGTATCTATCTTTTTATCAGCTGACATCTGAAAAGAATCAAGTCTCACAAATTGTATGGCAGTCAGTAAGGAGAATTACTCACGAAATCTTGAGAGTTAATGGTTAAGAGACATATAGTAATCATATGTACCAGAAAGACAGTGAATAAATGTAACATACTCTAGGAAAGTGTTCTTTAGTACTATGAAGTTTCAAACTCTTTGAAATTAAGTTGACTTCATGATTCAGATTTTGGTTAAAGACATGTAATATCTCTTTACATGGATGAAAAGAGAATGTCATTTATGAATTTTAAAATAATAAATGTCAAAAACTTGAAGACGGAATTAAAAAAACTGCTAAAATATGGCATATCTATTCACTGATAATTAAATAATTAGCTGGCACACGGAGATATAAAAGAGGCTTTGTGAAAAAACTAGGGCAATAAAATTAAAGATTCAGGAGAAGCATATGACATCAAGTAGTTTACTGATGTTCTCACCTGAATTCAATCTGGAAAGAGAGCTCTGCAACACTTCTGTTTTGTCTTCTCACACTTCAATTAAAACATGAAATTTAATTATTTGCGGGTATGTTAGGGAGGAAATTAAAGGAATGGATATATGTTACATAAAAAGAAACCCCTTACAATAAAAACAAAGCAGAAACATTTTATCGACATGTTTATGCTTCTGAATACAGCTATAATAAGGTTTTTTTGAGCAACTATCTACATATGTAAACCAGGTGCAATAAACGGTCCTAAAAGCAATTTTATTCTAACCTTCCTCCTTGAAGGGTGCCTTGAGAATTAAGTATATCAAGTTAAGTACCTCCAGAGTGATAAGTCGGGCTTTCGAGGCTACAAAATAATAAAATAATCAACGAGTTATCGCAGGCCAATCTATTCAGAGTCAATTAAGTATAGTTTCCTAAAATCGTATGGAAAGTTTAAAATGTGCTTCACTTGTGCTACATATACCCTATACCCTAGAAAGAATTAGATACTTGCGCTCGCCGTTTGCTATCATTTGAAAACGTCTTAGGCAAAACAAATTAAAATCCGTAAGATAACTTCTTTCCCCTTAACACCACGACTGTATTAAACATTCCAAACGACAAGACAGGAAATACCTTAAAGAATACGAATACCTTGAAATGTTATTCGGGCGATGAACCGGCGCGAGGGTTTTTAGGCGATGAATGCCAGTCATACCGAACTGATTATAATTATAAACTGAAGCTAGTATCAAACGACGATTGGTTAAAAAGGTTTGAATTTTTTTGGGCCTTAACGTAAGAAAAAACCTAGATAAGACACGACTTACCTCCTCTTTTTTCTCGGATCCTTTATGGTTCGCCTCTCTTTGTTGATGACCTTTTTTTAGTCTGTTTTCAGGAGCGTCTTTGTAGTTCCTTCTCGCGTTGCTCTTCGCTAGATATTCGCCTTTTTACTTCTGCCTTCTCTTGTTCTTTTTCGCGCTCCTCTCATCGTATTCTACCTATTTTGGTGTCCTCTCTAACTTTCTTGTCCGTTTTCTCGACTCGCAAATTTCATAAATTTCAAGCGAACTCGTCGAGCATCGTGCTCAAAGTCCCGTTTGCGAAGTCAAAATGAAGCAATCAGGCCCTCTATCGCAGAGGGATTCCCAACTGCACGTTTATGAGTCACAATGCATACCATGAAAAAATTGTCGCTGAGATTTACACACTAAAAGGTGCGACATAAACTTTCCTTCACTAGCTCGTCGAAGATGCTGGGAGCCAATCAGGTAGCATTTTTCACCAGTTAGAAAAACGATAGGTCCTAGCTGGAGCCATGCGCTGTGTTTTTCCACGTTTGAACCATATCGAGGTGATTCATTCAATCTTCACTAGCTGTCTTTGGCCTTTAGAGCCGCTCGGAAAATTTTAAAAATCCGCTTCCAAGGTTTTGTGGCAGATCATATAGAAAGCATGGAGAACAAAAATACAGAGTACAAAACAAAGCGAGGTTCAAAACTGTTCAAAGACTTTTGAGAACGAAGATAACGAGGATAGCCAAACGAATTAATCAACAAATACAGAGGCCTTGGCTGTGCTCTGTTCTCCTGTAAAGCATGCTGAAAGCGGCTATAGCACGAAAGAAGTTTAACTTTCCGAGTTACTTTTTGTCAAAGATTAAAGTTCATTAAAAGCTGTTTTTTAGGCCGCGTGTCCATTTAATGACACATTTGCTACCACAAATTAATTTCGAAAACAATTTTTTGCCTGCAACCAAAGGTGATTTGAGAGAGACAAAAGAGAGGATTAATAAGTTATTCATCGGCTTGATTTGCTTAACAATACTTTGCTTGAAAATATTGCGCAGCCGGCAAAACAAAATATATTTATGAAAAACGGCCAAGAAGCTAGGAATTTTCTCAGCGACTCACGAAAGCGTTACTGTGCCTTTGGACAGAGATAGGAAATCCGGACCGCACCAGGAACCCATCAGATTGCAGGATACGTTACCGTGCCCTAAGAGAGAAAATTCAAGGGTTTACAACACGGGGCGTAATATTTTTACCAAAAAGAAGGAGCCCCCCCCCCCCCCCCACGATCCTCATCCCCAATTTTACTTTTTACTCCCATATTGTCCGTGTATGGAAGGTTTGTATAAAATATAAACTTTCAAAACTACATTGTAATTCCGTTCCTAATAAAAATTGTACTCTGTGACACGGTTCATTATAAGTAGTCAATGTTTACATTTTCAATTTTCCTCCATAATTAGCAATTGCCACTCTTGCACTTGTTTACGTCGTCCAAATCACAGACACAACTCAAACGGCAGTGAGAAGAAGCTTGAATGTTGATAATCTCATGACGTCAGTGGAACGAGTTATGATGTACACTAAGCTTGACTCTGAGCCTGGATACAAAGTAGAAAAACGTCCACCAGAACACTGGCCACGCGAAGGGAAAATCACCTTTAAAGATGTATCACTGACATATTACCCGGGAGGACCTCAAGTACTAAAGAAAATTAACCTTGAAATCAAAGGCGGAACGAAGATCGGTATTGCAGGCCGTACAGGTGCAGGAAAGACTTCTGTTTTGGCAGCTCTACTGCGCATGCCAGATGCTGATGGACAGATAATGGTTGACGATATTCCCATAATGGAGATTAACATTCAAGAAGCTCGACGATGCATATCGGTTCTTGGACAAAGTCCAGTCCTATTCAGTGGAACGCTGAGAAAAAATCTCGATCTTTTGGAGCAGTTTCAAGACAAGGATTTATGGCAAGCATTGAGAGACACTCAACTGAAAGACGTAGTTGAGAGCCTGGAGGGACAGTTGGATTACAAGCTTTCCGAACATGGCGCAGATATCAGCGTAGGAGAAAGGCAGTTGATTTGTTTGGCTCGTGTCTTGTTACACCGAAGCAAGATCATCATCTTGGATGAACCCACTGCACACGTAGATCCAGAAACAGAGCACAAAATGTGGAGGGTGGTACGCGAGAAACTGAAGGACTGTACCGTAATTACCATAGCTCACCGCCTGAGCTCAATTAAAGATTGTGATATGATTTTGGTTTTAGAAAATGGAGAAATACGCGAATTTGGCAAGTTTGATTTATTAGTGAGAAGAGAGGGAGGTATATTGAGTGAAATGGCTCGTGTCTCAGGTATCTAAAATGTGCCTGGAATAAAGTCACCGAAAACCTTGCCTCATCTTATTGTTCTTGGTAAAAGATAGCAAAAAAATTAACCAAATGCGACAGAAAGTTCATCCCGCTCCCTTTTGAGCTGAGGTTTTTCAAATTGGCTTTTCAATGTGTTTTATTCTACATTTTTCGATATTTTAGCTCTTTTTCCGTTTTAGAATGATTTAGGTAACAAAAGCTTCTGATGAATTATTGTCTTGACGTCATGGCTCTCCTTGGGAGCACAGTAACACAGAAGGAGCACCAAAAAACCTTAAAGAAAACACAATCGAATGCGCAAAAAAAATCGGTAATCTTCTGTTACTTTATACCTAAATGGTTGTATGGTTTTTAGAGATTTAAATAAGTAGATGTACTTGTCTGCTTGATTTTTAAACTATCGTTTGCGTCATTTTGAGGATTTTGTTAGCTTCAGAAAGCTTTGAGCTGAGTACACCATCATGCACCTGTAGCGGTGAAAAAGTACATTATTTCCTCTTTAAGCACAAAACAAGAAGGAATTCAATTCTAATTATCAGCTCCCTTGTTAAAGCGTGATTGTGGCCCTCAACGTTTGACCGTTTTATTGAAATTATGAAGGTGTAATAGTAACTTACCTGAGCTTGTGGGAACAGTTGCATGAGCATCCTAATAATATCTGGTTACACATCAGCGCTTTCTCCGCGAACATTCTTCATTTCTTGGAATGGATGAAAGCATACTCTGCTTTATCCCTTTCTTGCCCGTGTTTGTTTTTTTCTGATACATTTGCTTGGAATTTTTTTTCTTTCGTACGTTACCCTTTCCTGGTCTGCTTACTATCAATCAGTATCATTGATATATTCACTGAGCTGGCCAAATAGATTTGAGGCCATGTCTAACTTAAAAGCAAAGGAAGGAAGGAGCCTTATTCCTTATTCTAGACAAAAATTGCGTTGAAGGGAGAGAAAGCGCTGTACCCATGCCTATCAGTGTGTTACAAATAACTTCCGAAAATTACGAAAGGTGAACGCTCGAAAAGTCTGCTTTAAAACTCTTCGAGGGACAACATCAGTTCCTTTAGTTCGGCCATGAAAAAACATTTCTTAGCATAGTGTTGTGAATAGAAAAATATCAGTATGTGGTTTGAATTAATTTTGTATACATACATTTTTAGCTGTAGATGATAGACGTTTTGCGATTGATATTCATACTTTGTACTATTCTTAATTATTTCATGATTACTCGGTAGATATGTAGCATAGAAGGCTCCTGATTTATCAGTCATACTGTCGTGTGTTACCCTCTCTAAATAAATTTTTTACCTACTTACCTAACGGTGGCCAATTTACGTTATTAACTCTGTTGTTAATAACAGATTACCTTGTAACTTTGAGTTGGCGTCGTGTTACGACAAAAAGTCGAGACGGCAATTGACAGAATCTTTGATCGAGAATCAAGAAGTTTCCAATCTTGAGTGATAAGTGCCGACATTTTCCGTGGCAGTACCCACGATCCTCTGAGCATACATTTGTTTTACCGTAGTACCGCTGCTGCTCAATGATGGTGGCAGTGTTTAATGTCAAGACCTAGAATTTTAAGCAACCAATTATATGGGCAAACATGGTAGGATGTCGAAAACAAATTTCAGCTCGATAACTACGAAGGGTCAAAGAGGAATGTGAATATATTTACTCTTCCTCATTTTTAAAAGCCCCACAATTTCTTTCTTACATTTTTTCTTTTTTATGTGAATGAGTTTCCCCAGTTAAGAACTTTGGTATATAAACAAGGTGGTAAACATAACTTAACCTACTTTTCAAAAAAACCGCACAGAATGGCTGCTGATAACACTTGTGGTTCCACAACATTTGAGACATCTAGCGGTAGTCTTTCACATCGTTCACTTTACTGCTATTGGAGAACAGCAGCAACCGGTTAGACATCAGTTATCAGCATGCTTGTAAGTTTTGACTGATTTGAAAATACCTTTTGATCTTTCGTTCTCACTGGAAAAGGAGTACATGTATACACAGGTATAATTCAGGATGTTACATTTTTGATAAAAGTGCTGGATTTCCAGAATTTCCTTTTGCCTGTGAGTGCATCTATTCTCAGAAGGTTCGACCGACGCATGCACACAAATTTGCTGGATGCAGATTACAATGAATCCTTAGAGCAGCGGAAACCGAAGTGACCCTAGTGCTCGGTTTTAATTAACTAATACAATAGATTGACCTTTGGTCGACAGCTTAAAAGCGAACACGCACGTCGTAGTCAAAACGGAACCCTTTTGAGTTTGGCAGCACGACGAGATCAATTAAACCAACCTTGTTCTCTGGGGAACTTTTGGTTTTTACCATTTTTTTAGCAATATAATATATATATATATATATATATATATATATATATATATATATATATAAAACACGGAGGAGGAGTTGAAGAACATAATTCTCCTAGCCCTTACCTTAGAGGAAGGCGGAAGCTTAGCCGTGATACCTTAACAACAAAGATATTTTCATATTCAACGCTTAGCATCCCTCTATGATGGCAATTATTTTTTGCTTTGTGGCCAGTAACGCGCTTTGCGATAGTAAGTAAGTAAGTCCGCGACATTTCGGAAGCTCTCGGAGCAGTCTAACAAAGTGAAATCGAAACCACCTCGGGATTTACTTTAGTCCTCTAATCGAATTTCACGGTATCTGGTGATTTCGCCGACGAGTGATTTCGCCAACGTCACGTTCGCCAACGTCTTAGGTCGCTTCGCCCAAGCGAAAAGTCGTTTCGTCCTACTGGTCACTTCGCCAATGTATTAGTTTACTCTAAATAAAAATTTACCATTACTTCTTCTTGCTTCTGTGTGTTTTTTACTTGACTGAGCTGACTTGATTTCCCCGTTCGTACTTAGTTTCCTTCCGTTATTTTGTTCGGACTTAGTTTCCTTTTCTTGTAAATTGTTTGGAAGTCAGCCAAGCCAACGTCGTACTGGTCACTTCGCCAATGTATTAGTTTACTCTAAATAAAAATTTACCATTACTTCTTCTTGCTTCTGCGTGTTATTTACTTGACTGAGCTGACTTGATTTCCCCGTTCGTACTTAGTTTCCTTCCGTTATTTTGTTCGGACTAAGTTTCCTTTTCTTGTAAATTGTTTGGAAGTCAGCCAAGCGAAACTAGCATCAACTTAAAAATGTTCTGACCCAAGTATCAGCATTACATCCGAAGCATCAGTAAGCACCCTTTTTACTAAGTTATTACTAGATATTTGGCGTTGGCGAAGTGACCAGTAGGACGTTGGCGAAGCGACTCATCGCGTTGGCGAAGCGACCAAAGACGTTGGCGAACGTGACGTTGGCGAAATCACTCGTTGGCGAAATCACCGCAATTCAATTTCACCATAATACTTTCTTTAGGGTTTTATACTAAGTATTGCTGAACATTCTTATGAATCGCTTTGATTGTTTAAGATCTGATTTGGAACACAAGCCGTAAGAACAGTTAAAGTCCATTGGCTAATTAATTTAATCTATTATTTTATGTCAGCATTGGCTGCTGGATCAATCGGTAAACTGAGCACTTTTACGGACGAAAATAATCGTGTGCTTTTCCTACTGAAAAATAATTCCTCAAATTGGCTGCCGCATATCTTTAAATTCACTCAAAGTGCCTTCCTTCGGTGTGATCCAGATGAAGATCGTCCATCCGAGACCACTCGGATCACAGTGTTTGGGTGCGCAGTATCAGTTACTATGACAGTTGGCGTGAAACTTAAGTGCGTGTGGGAGTGGAATGCACTCAGCGCAAAATTTAAACGGAAACATCATGGCTGCTGCGTGTAGGGCAGTTGTTTAATTTTTCATGAATATAGCAATTTACTGATGATTCAGCACTAGTAGAAGCGAACGGTTTTGAGGATGTTTTTTCTGCTGATGAACATCTTGGAAAGGAAAGGCCATGTTCATACGAGAAGCATCAAAGACAACTTAAACGGATGGAGTTATAATGTTTCACAAGTCAACTTCGAGCCGAGTCAAGTCCGAGTCAACTTAAATTTTTTCCCTCTTTCTAAAATAATACAAAGTTTGGTAAATTCGTGTATACGAGCTGCGTCTTCAATTTTCTGATAAATTTCAATCAATACAGACAAAAACAGGGCTAAATTACGACTACTTACTACGACGAAATGGATGGTACTCCAAGATATGAGCACGGGGAAAATGAGTATGATGCTCTGAGTGACTAATTTCGAATCCCTTGCCCAATGCATGGAACGAAGCAGATCATTAACCCGATGAATCTCTGTCCAGAGTGGATTCAATGATCAATGTGAAAACGGATTCAGAATATCCTGATCTGAATTCCTCAAAGGAACGCACCTCAAGTAAAAAAATATATACATTTAAAAGGGAAACCTGTAGTCACAAATAATAAATTCCGTGGTATATCATTTCGAGAAAGAAAACCAAGAGGTTTGTCCTCAATTGTAAATAAAATGTAAACAGAGATTATCGTGTTGCAACGTAATATTACCAAGTGACGGTGAGACGCGAGCTTTGATGAAAATAGTTTATATCGTTCTATCAAACACCTTCTTTCAAGGTAAAATGCTTTCCGTTTCAAATTTGGATTTACCCGTTAAAAACCATAACGAGAGAAACTTTGTCTAGGTTGTCGGGGCCTGATCGTCAGCGCCTGCGTAGAAACGCCAGAAGTGCCCTCTAGGTAGATAGATGACTGCAGGATAATTTCAGACTTCAGCTTCTGCATAGAGAGCGCAAATAAAAAAAATTGGATTGTTGCAATTTTTCAATAAGAGCTACGAAGATGCTTCTTCCTTTAAAGATTTGGCCTACACTGAATTTCGTGACGCCAAGGTAGAGACGTGGCAGACGACATTGCGAGAGTGACGTGTTTAAGATAGAAAATGTCTTTAGTTTAAAGCTTACTATCCAATTTAAGGAATCGAAAAATAGGTGAAAACCTTGCCTTTACTAAGATTTGAATCAACCTAAAAATTGAACCGTGAAAACTAATTTCACTCCTTATTTGTTGAATTAAGGAAAAAAAACTTAATCATGCACACCAAGAAAGTGGCAAGTGTGTCGCTGCTCATAACAGGCCTGCTCATTGTGATACTGGGTGTTATCATTGGAATTATGCTACAAAACGCAGCAGAGGAGAACAACGAGGAATTAGTTTGTGTGAACAGCAAAGAAAGCCCGGGATATGAAAGATGGGTGAGTGTTCTGCTGTACTTTTCCGATGATCTTCTTAAAGCGTTGACCCTGAGGACACGAACGTCATTTCTCTTAATGCAGTTCTTTTGTTTGAATCGAGTGTTTTTACCGTGCGTTTTAAACTAAGGGAGACCTGAAGAGCTCAGGATGTTTAACAATGTTTAGTTGATCTGATGTTTATTGGTCGCTGTGTGTTGGATATTTCTAGGCAAGTCTGGATTATTTTACAACTAGAGCTTATTACTGGAACATCTCCAACAAGGCCGGATTTCTTTATCGAGGAGAAAGACCCAAGGTACATTCAAAATAATCGTGATTTTGAGATACAAAAATGTTGTCGTGTGAACTCTCTTATATATTGATGAGAGCAAGGAATTTTGTCCACTTCCCTCTTTTGGCGGTACATTTGGAGATTAATAATTATGCAAAGGCAACCGTTGTGGCTCCGCAAGATGCCAAGACCATTTTACTCCCTGCTAAGTTTCTCGTCTCTACTGCGGAGTTCTGAACATTTTGAGAGAACACCCCTTCCTCAGTTTCGTGTTGCCATTACTTTCGAAACAATTAATAAGAGAAGTTTTAAAATAATAATAATTATTCAATACTCTGGTAAACAGGCGCGAATTTGACATTTTCTTATTGAAATCCCTCTTTTCAGTGCACGAATTGTTCCGCCTACTTTTACCATTCCTTTTACTCGAAGACATTGCGTAACAGAACTGATTCTCTCTTGACTTAAAACTGTCACTTTTGGCTTGCAGTGCTTATTATGAAACCAGCATTTTCCAAACTCTGCTTTGTTGAGCATGATCTAGTTAGACGAGCACAATGTCACAATTTGGGTTGTATTCTTCCTCGGTTGTGATTTCACACTTATGAGAGATAGAGCGAGGCAGCTGAGTGAGTTAGGTCAGACGTTTCGCTCTCCACATGAGTAAATTTAAGGCACCTCGTAAAAGCGGTAATTTTCACTTTCAAAATTATGCAGCAGTATTTTGTGTTTCTTTTAAGCTTCGTCAAAGAGGTCCTTACGTCTGTAGTGTGACATCAAAGAGAATTGACGTAAAATTCGAGAACGGAAAAGTTACAAGCAAGAAGTTTGAACAAGCTAAATTTAACAAGACGCTTACCAACGAGGAATGTCCCACATGTAGCGAAAATGACGAGGTACGTTTTTAGGGGGCAGATGTTCTATCAAAACGAAAATTGTGAGTGATCCATAAAATCCGACGAGGTGGAGAATGTGAACATTTTCAAACCTACATATTCAAACCATCGTCTATTCTTCGCCGGTCATCTTAAACCATTGCACACCAAAGGAATTATTAATTGCGGAAATTAACACTCAACACTAAGAATTATAAAAATACATATTAACTACTGATCTAATTTTTCAGTTTGAAGCCCTAAACCTTTGACAACATTTTTCATGGACCTTGAATTGAGCCAAAGAAGACAATGTTCGTCGGTGGAAAATACAGTCGTTCTCTCTGACCGTCAAAGTTATCATAAGAATGACAATAAACATTGCTGTAATTATCATTACCTAATCAGGAAAATCCTGATGTCATTATGGCACCTCAAAGTTTTATTTTTTTCAGCTTACAATATTGAATGCAGGTTACCTCGTCAAAGGAAAGGACCTGAGCCAGGTTCTTATACCCCTCGTGATGAACGTATTGTTCGCCAGGCTTAGGCGGCAAGGTCTGAATAATAGCCATATCCTCCTTCAAATGGGACAAGCCGACAATCAGCTAAAGTTGCCATACCCATCGAACCCTGCTTTTGGCTCCTGGATCAATTCATCTCCATATTTTGCGTCTCTACGTGTTAAACTTGAAATTCCTCTCCAAGGATCCTCGAGCTGCAGTATTAATACAACAATTATTATGTCCAGATCGGAAATCAGCATGCTTCAACGCCTCAAATACTCTCAGATATCAAGCCCTCGGCGCGTTCATCTATGAACTTTCTAAATATGTCCTTTTTTTGCTAGAGAAAAACAACTTTGGGGCGACGACCACTCGAAATCAGAATGACTTGACAATTGGGTATGTACTACGGTTACCAGGATACCCAACCGGAATACCTATCCCAGGGATAGTAACCTCACATGCCAATGAGACTTATGCCAGGAAGGTGGCAACAAGCTCTACATTCTACACCTGTGAATCCACGGGAGACAGATTTGCTTTTGCAGGTAAAGTTTGCGAAAGTTTGAACTTTTTTTCTCAAATATCTTCACGACATCTTCAAGAGGTTGAATTCAACATCGTAAGTGAGGAGGAAGGTTTTAGGCTGAATAGGGAAAAAATGTCTTATTTACGCTTGCCAGTTTTAAAGATTTCCAAGGTTTTCGTCAAATTCGAGTCATGTAAAACACTGCTCCATTAATGTTTTGAGGTCGTTTCCCCACAATTGATAACCTTATGAAGAGGAAATTGAGACCAAACTTCACAGCAAGCTAGCGAGCTATGCGGAGGCTTTTTGCGAAAAAAGAAAGGGAAATTACAACAAAAAATCTTCTCTGTATACAGTGCAGAAAGTATTTCATTCTATCGGCGACTTCCCAGATTCAAAGCTTCAGTGAGTAGAAGTATTTTGGCTAAAGATAAAACTTTTTCCTTTGGAAGGGGCTTCCCCATTTGAAGAGTTGGAAACATTAAATGACCTGTTCAAATATTTCTCACGTTAATCGGAGGATTTACTGCATATTCATTTCGCCCGGGAGATTCAAAATAAGCCCTAGCCACTTGAATTGGCCTTTTCAAGGACGTATACCTTGCTTGAGCGGAATAATCACTCTTACTTTCTTTTGTTTCTTAGCGGTAGGCGGTGAAAGTACAGTTAGTACCAATCTATATCCAAAAGCGTCTAATGAACAGCTCAAGGTTCATGGCTACGGCACACAATTTCCTGGAAGGAAAAGTTTAAAAACTTGCTCAACTAAGTATGGTCCAACAGAAAACAGCTATGAGATTTTCATTTCTTACTTCCGTTTCGCCATTCCCTTCAAGTACAAAGAGGAGGTGGAAACAAACCATATTTCAATGCACAAATACTTATTGGATGAGTCTGCAGTTGAGGTAAACAACGTGACTGTGTTCACAAAAGGTGTTTTTGATGTGAGCCGGGTTTTGGGAGGTCCCATCTATGCCAGTCTACCGGGATTTCTTTGTGGAAAAGAGTCACTTTACAAGGATCTGGGCCTTGATACACCTGACGCACAAAAATACGAGTCTCTGGTAAGCTGACATAGAGCAGTTAAATCATTTTATATAGACTACATAATTTAGAAAATAGAACGTTCAGAGGGGAAATTCATATTTGTTATCATATGACCTATGCAAGCCTGCGCCACTTTATTGAAAATGATTGCACAAAAATCTCCATATGGGGGCCTTACGCCGTGACGTGAGCTGAGCAGGAACAAGCTGTACGACCCCGCAAGAGGCAAGGTAATAGAAAAAAAGGAAGAAAAATAAAGGGCGGCGGTTATACGATAAAGTGGTTATTAACTCACTCAGGTCGTGCCAAACGAGGAAATATTGGGTCCTCGGTCATGAAGTGCTGACTGCACTGCGCCTGGACTTGCGTCATGACCTCGAGCAAAATAATTAAATTATAATTGCTGTTCATTCGCCTAGATATTCGCGACTAAACAGTGGTCGTATCAGAGGCTTCCACTGCATAAAATATCGACTGTTGTGACACTCTAAGTGTATATGTCGTCCCTGGGTGTTCCTTCTTAGAAGGAAGTAAGTCCTTCTTATCATTACACCCGGAAACCAAGACATTTCGTACGTTTACTTTACTGAATATATAATCAACTTAAGAGACTAAACCCCCGATTAGCCATACATGTATTCAAATTCATCACCCTGAAGTTGTTAGCCGGCTTGTGGTCTCTAGTACCCCAAGCGTAATATTACGTTTACTTCGAGTGCTGCTTGAATGTTGATAGAGAACGAGCAGACGCTGCATGGGAAGTTCAAGTGAGTAAAATGCGCAAACAAGGATTGGTTACTTCTTTATCCACCCGCAATTGCATCGAATCGCAATTGGTTTAAAATGAAATGAGGATGGACTGCCCTAGAAATAGGTCGCTGGGCTTGATCAATTCTTGTAGCTTACCCTCTTTGAATTCACCTTGGAGCTGTACCCGATTTACCAGGAATGGCAGAATGTGTTCAAATTTAACCACTGGTAAGTCATATCTCACTCTGAAATGGGCCAAATTTAAGTCCAACCATTACTTAGTCTACGGAGCAAAAGTTCATTTTAGCAGCTTTTGAGTCCATTCTTCCTCTTCCTTATCTGCTAATCACATTGCCATTTAATAAGACCGCTTCCTGAGTTTGCATCTTATCCCAACCGCAATATTACTGTTTCTGTTTTTGTACATTTGATTTACGATCATATATGTAGATCGGGGAGAAGACCTTTCAGCGCACAGGGTTCACTTCTTCGAAAAACGGTCAGAGCTATAAAGGATTAAGATTTCGTAGAAAAGGTTGTACTTATTCATCGTGGAAATGACAATAAAAGCTACGTTTTTCGTTTGTCTCACGATGTAGTGACGTGTGATGTAGATCGCGACGTTTCGTCTGCATACTTCTAGTCTTCTTCAGGCGATGAGGTCGACTGGTCATGCGTGATCCTATAAAGCATGGTGCTCTGCTGTGATTAGTTGTTTTTCAACAGCTCTGATTGGCGCATTTCGATCCTTGCTGTTCACTCAGTAATTTGCTACCTCAGCGGTCCGCTGTCGCACGGCTCACCTGTTGTAGTGGTTTTTTTTAATAGGCAATAGGCAATATGCAATAGGCAATAGGCAATAGGCCAAAAGTCAAGGTCACAACTTAAAATAAAGATGAAGATAACGCCGCAGAATGTTTCACATTCCCGCGATAGCGATTTCTTAGCACAAAAGCCGCATCGTACCCAGGCATTTCCTGCTTTAGTACACGCGACAGCGGGGTCACATCTAAGGCGTAGAAGACGATATGAATGGGGAAGAGTACATATTCCATGATTTAACTTGGTGAAACGACTTGTGTCGGGTCAGCCTGTGGATTGCCTTGTGCGATCCACCCGGGAATTGTTTCTTCAATGTCTGTTCTAAGTCAGTTCATCCCATGTTAACTTCAAAGGTGAATATATATATTTGTCCATCCCGCTATTGTTTCACCTCTCTACCATAACAGGTGTTTGGAGACCTGCAGCTGTCTTGTGGTTTGCTATTAGCCTTGCCCATATTTGGTGGAGTGTTAGTCATTTTGGGTGTAGCCTTGATTGTCATGGCAATGAAGAAACGCGAGGTTGTAGCTTTAGCGTGAGAGTTCCTTAAAGAAAGTAGATAAAAACTTCGGAAGTCACATTGGGCTGTTCACTCTAAGGATATCTATAGGCTAATACATCCGCTACGTGTTTCATGGTTCTGTTATTTGCTGTTAACTATGCTAGTGGTTATCATTAAGAAGTAAACAAGCTGTTTTTTTTACTCTTAGTTCCATCGCCAGCACCAGATGGTAGCCTGAGGGGTACTTTCAGAGTTAACCAGTTTATTTGCAATATTCTTGTTTCTCGTTTTATAAAGACACTCCAAGCGACGGCTAGCAATTGGCAGTTTGAGTTAGTTACATGATTAGTACGGCGATCTCTTATCCAACTGGGATTAGCATTACCCCATAGATAAACGACTCTAGACAGGTAGCACCAACAATTTTGACACTGATAGTCGAAAGGAAAATTCATTATTTACCAAACCATAAGACAGCAGTTAAAACATTCTGCTCTTTGATAGGCATTAAAGCTTTCACTATATAAGGAATTTGTCTCTTCCTCTTTCTCTATCGAAGTTATCTTGACTTGCGACGAGAACTCATGCTTCAAATTCAAAAAACTATCTTCGACTTTGAAATGAACAGGGATATCATACCACAATCATCTTCAAGGATACAGCTGATATTCTCTCCAAGATAAAATGAGTGCACAAATTTTCCAATAGAAACTCTCCTTCGACTTTGCGTAGGATAAGGAAGCTTGCTTTGTACATGACACAGTTAGCTTGCTTACTTGTCTTGACACCCGAACCCAAATCGCGAGAATATATTTGAAAATTTTGGAAATTTTGTTGATTTAATTATATAAAACATGAGTGTTGATTGAATTCGTATAAAAAGTACTTGGAATCTAGGGCTTCCACAACATTATTTCAAAAGAGCATATGACTGTAATCACGCAACGTTCTTCTCTTCTGCAATATTTCTTACTGTGGTTTCAATAATTTGACGCAAAATGTTTTTTTTTCTAGTAAGGCCTCAATTTAAATGGAATTACGTACAAACATACCAAAACTGTACAGATAGGAAATCACCCGAACGCAACTGAGCGAGCTGTAAGTGGATTAGTTTGAAAGCTTTGAAAAAATATCACAAGAGACCAAAGAAATACGAAATACACCTGCGGTTGTTTGCTCACTATATTCTCTACAAAATCACTTTTTCCCCGCAAACTTTGTTAGCAATTGACTTCAACATTGATTTTCCACGCTTTGGAAAATGTTCAAACAGTTTCTTTCCCAGGAATTTAAAAGAGAAAGAAACTCAGTATCGAGGCTTGTCAAGGAAACTCACAGCATCTATTTAAATAATATGATTGGTCCTAGCCTAGATGAAAACCGGAAGAAATTTTGGTCGTACATTCATAACTGTAAATCGGAGGACAATGGCATTCCTCCCTTACGATTTGGCCATAAGCTGTACTCCACCGATAAAGACATGGCTAAGACGCTAAATTCATATTTTTATAATGTCCTCAGCAAAGAAAAGCTGCCAGCACTGTTCAAAGAAAATTCACAATATAATTCCATCTCCGACCCCAAAATTTCTGTTCAAATGTTACTTAAACAATTAAATCCTAACAAAGCATGTGGCCCTGACGAGTTACCGACAAGAGTTCGTAC